ACTTATGCAACCCAGATTGTTACGTTTTAACTACCCCGTTTCTTTAATAATACCTATGCAACACAAATTGATACTTCGATGTCAACACATACTGACAGGTCTATGAGTATAGCCAATGCCAGATCACCGACCAATGCCATTAATTAACAATAAAACTAGCGATGGAACCGGAAAGTGCCATATTCTAAGTACAGGTAAGTGGCGAATCCTCGCGCGAGGCACAATCCCATCTATTTATACCCCTTAAGCCACCTACTATATGGAACTGTAAGGATGATTGGGAGTTATCTGCACTATTACACTTTAGCTGCAACACCATGTCTTGACATCTATACTCAAATGCTATATGCTTTAATGGCTGTCAGTGTTGCGGATGCGATAGTTATGTTCGATAACAATGCGTAACGCCACCTAATGTGATACAATAGAGAATGCCACCGTGATATGGGATTTAAAGAAAATTATCATACAGGCGATTAACAAAGCCGTATGATAATTACGAACTAATATGAGTTACGGTCTCCAGTTGCCTCTCTCACTTCATTCATACACCAGGGTTTTAGGGTTAATATCTTACTATTGCTGTTATAATCAGCTAACTTCTTCTCTGTCCATCGCAGTACTACTTACAGTGCCTACGGTATGTGCACCTATCCATATCCGCTGCGTCGTCATGTGTGCCATGTCATTGTTTCACCAGTGTGCGCATACTTAGTTAATACTTTACCATTGCTGTTATAATCAGCTAACGTCCACCTCTGTCCTTCGCAGTACTACTTACAGTACCTAATATATTCGGGTGTCGTCACTCGTTTAACTAAGTGAATCACCCGCGCTCTTCATCTGTCACTCGCATCTTCATAGCCCTGATAAAGTGTCTCGACTTCGCATTGTGCGCAGTCAGAGCGATCTGAATTGTTGGTCTCTGCGGTGTGTGTGTGTGCGTGGCCAAGAACTCCATACAAACCTTTGAATAGTCCAGGTACATAGCTGTAGTCAGCGCCAGTAACGTGGTGGCCATGGCCCCGTTCTCGTACATGTGCTGTATCACAGCGTGCGCGCCTTCGTCGAGGTCAAAGGATGTGTCTAGCAGCGACATGACACACTCCTCCACAGACGGGTGTACCGAACTGTCTGTGGCATTATTCTGTAGGCGTACTAAGGCATTCAGCGCCGTCTCATTGTCGGCTTTTGCCTTATCGTCTATGTTCAGCGCCGAGAGTACTGGGATATCCGCGACATCCTGTTCGGACTGGGATAGCAGTACACCCGTGAACATCTGCACGCACTCGGGGATGACATCAAGCACCCGCTCTCGCGCACTGACCAGATTAATGGACACGCCCCGCAAGCGTTTATGTGGCACCTCCAAGACCTCCTTCGAGGTGCCAGGCGAACCCGCCGGATCCACACCAGCCTCTGCCTGTGCTCCCTCGACCAGAGACATACTATCGCCCGCAGTACCCACATCCGGCAACAGACTGGTACTACTAGTCCCCACATCCTGCTCTCTCCCTACGTCCTGCTCTGCACGTTCCACCGTATCGCTTGCGGCGTACAGCTCGTGTACCACTCGCACATTGCCTGCCATGTGCGACAGGGCCGACAGAAACCGCTCCACCGTGCGAAGTCTCTCGTCGGCCACGATGACGGGACCGGCATGCGCCCATTTGGAATAGAAACTGGCCCCAGCCAACAGGGCCTCCCCTCCAGCCAGAGTAGCCAGAGCACCGTCCAGATTTGGCAGCGGGGAAACGGCTTGTTCAGTGGCTGAGATGTTCGGTACAGCCGTGTCTGTATTTTCTGCCGTGGTTGGCACAGATGGTGTGGTCTGTGGGTCTGGGTGAGCGGTTGCTGCTGCACTGTCGATTGCGGTGAATGCCGCGGCCAGACTGGCGGAGAGGGCCCCGTACGATCGGGTGAACAAGTTACGCGACGCCAAGCCAGCGCTCATGGGAAGCACCCACGATTTGATCCCCAGGCACAGCAGGGCACCGGCCATACTGGCGATGAACCGGTTGAGCACGTAGAACTCCATGGCGAAGGTCTCGCGTCGTATCCAGAACACCTGCGTGATGACGATGTGAGTGATCAGCACTACTCCGGGGAGATAGTTCCAGCGTTACTGCATCCACACCACCCTGGTACTGTCTTTATCGGCCGCGGCGAAGTACACAATGAAGTGCATGATAACCGAGGAAAGCAGGATCACCCAGGGGTTGTCTGTGCCTGCTGCTAGCAGCGTCAGGTACGCGGTCACACATCCGATAGCACTACCCAGCATGCGCCACACACACTTCTGGACAGTTGGCTCTAAGGTGGCACTTTCGCACAAGTCGTATGTCATGATGCACCACAGTTGAAGATGGCCTAAAACGGGCGTGTCCGTGTACTTGGGGGCAGTGCTCTCCAACATGGGCCACACCCAGTACCGGAATTCGGCGCTGTAAAGCGGGACAACAAAGAGAATAAAGGTACCTAGATTGAACCGCAGCCAGTGGTGCAGGTCTCTGTTTTGGTACCAACTTGCCGGGCCTGTCCAGCTGACTCGCTGCGGGAGAGTACGCAGAGCCTGGAAGAACGTGGTAAAGGCCGCCAACATTGCCTTAGGAAGCAACATACTATAGAAACAAAGCAGACGATACAGCGAAACGACTGCGTTGCTGAGACTATACCGATGACTGGCATCTAGAAGGTTCTCTACAGCCACACACAGGTTCTTCGGGTGGTGGTGAAAGTTCAGGGCTATCAGAGTCAGACTCACAGATATCGCCACTACAACCTCCTTGATCTCGGCATGGCTACTGCCGTTGCGGTGCATGTAGTTTAATTGGTCTTTATATACCCGGGCTGCGAGGGCGTCGTAGTGATCCAAAGCAAACCTGAAAATCCGTATGCACCTGCAGTAGTTGTTCCTTAAGCGTGCTTAGTAGAGCCTTGTTGAACAAGGTAGGTATTGTGCAGATGCTTCTCCCGCACTCGTCGACCATCTTGCCGGGCTGTGGTCACCAGACGCTCTTTGGCTTGTGCCAGCTCAGGGGGATTGTTGAGCTCCATAGGGTTCCTTTCACTGAAGTACATATTATACAGTATGACTGATGCAGCCAGTTGACCCACCCTTGTATCTACAGCCCTCATCTCGTCGTGAGTACGCACAAACACACACGGCGAAAACCAGTGTGGCTCGCCATTGGCTGCCGAGTTGAGCAGTGCGTCGGTGCTGGTCAGTGCCGACCGTACGGCTTGGCCCAATAAAAGACCTACGGGAGACGACGCCAGATGCTTAGCTCTATAGGCTGCATAAAAGTGGGCGTCAAAGTCATTGGAACTTGGTTTGTCTTCAGATCCCCGTCCTTCTCTCGTTGTCTGTTCATCGAGTGATACAATGTCTTGCCCTTCATGGTACGAAGGTGTTTCGATAGCTTTGGGTCGCACGTATGTTTACTTGTCTACAAGTGAACACAGCACACGCCCAAGTATGTCTCGGATTTCTCGGTTGGCACTGTAGTAGGGCGGTACTAAGTGGACTGCTAAGTATATCGAGAGACCAACCACTACCATCCACATCATGGGCCCCGAAGCAGCTATGACTGCATTATCACCGCGCCACGGAATGTTATCAATGACCCACCACCCGGGTTCCACCAAGATGTCTAAAGTATCGTCTGATACACTTACACTGCATGTACTACCGGCAAGCGTGGTACTGATGTTAGCTGGTATGGTGAAGCTAAAGACCGCACCTACAGCTGCGGTGAATTGTATTTGTAGCATATCGACCAATTCAGGTATGGGAAGAGGTGTTCCGTGATCAGCGAGGAGTGCGCTATTTGCCAGGTCTGCCAGGGGTATGGATGCATGCAGGCCATGTAGTGCGTAGTCGTACAAATAGAAGAATATGAACGAAGCAAGCATGATTATGAAGTTCAGTGAGATCGATCCACCGACGCCCATGGGACCCAGGCGACCCGAACATATAACCAACATACAAGCAACGTATGTAGCCAGAACTGCTCCAGGATTGGGGTTTACGAGTACGACTGCGACCAGTATAGTGGTGAACACGAATGCCAAGACTAAGGCCATCATTAGAAGTAGCAGTAGACCTAGTGTCTGTGTTCCGTATATTCCGTTCATTATCGATACACCCATGTACACCATACCCACAAAGATGGTGAGACCCCCGTTTCCCAGGCCTGTAGGATAGAGTGCAATGTAGTAGGCAGCAAAGGACCCTATTGTAATTCAGGTATATGTTTGTATTGAGATGGTCTTGCCTGAAGATATACACGTTTGGCCAGTCTGCTGGTGTGTGCTTGAGGTATTTGTCATAGTTGAGTATGCCGCTTCCGTTGAGAATTTTCGCATCGGTGCTGTTAGTGCGTGAATCCATATTGTATGCTAATGTGAATGTATACTACCACCAAAACCTCTCAACACACAGACGCCCGGGCAAAGTATTTACAGAGTGGTGTGGGATATTTGATTTGCTTCCAACTGGAATAGCATCGATATTATATATACGTGGCAACGTCTCACATTCGATTAGTGCGTATATATCTGTCATATGTCAAGGGCATAAATATAAATCATGATGTATGTAGGAAATAAAATATATTTTACTGTTCGGAAAATAATAAGCATCGAATGTCACGGACGCCAATGCGATACCGTGAACCCGGACAGCGACCAGGATTTGTTACAATCTAGAGCATCTAAAATTCTAAATACAATAGTCTGTGACTCGGTGACTCTGTGCCAGTCTGTGGGTTCTGAGAGTTCTGATATATTTCCGACCAAATAGTTAGCCGTGGACCCGTGACTCCGTGAGTTCGTGAGTTTGTTTTGAGTTTTGACCCGCCCGCCCAGAAGCTTTTATATATTTAAGCGTATTTGATTGATCATTTGAACCAAATGCGACTCATGTTTTGATGCAGTTACTCAGTGTTGACTGTCACAACTGTTGACCGTTGCAGTGTTGAGTGTTGAGTGTGAAGTGTTGACAGCAGTTGAGTGTTGACTGTTGAGCGGTTCGCGGTAAGGGGGGGGGGCGGGACTTATGACTGTCAATTTTGGCCTAGGCCCCATTTATGCCCTCTGGGTGCGGCCCATTATGGGCCTGAATATGTCCACAAATAAAAGCAATATGTTTTCTCAATATCCATCATCCAATAAACCTGTGCTTTTGAGCGCCAATACTGATACTGTGTAAGAAAGCCAATGATTATAAAAACATACCCTAAAACGTAAACTTCATAGCCCAATATTGGCCATACTCGATATATTTGGTCCCAGAATTAAAAGTCATAAATGCACCTAAAGTCCGAAAAGTCAAGGGCGGGGTCTAAATTAGGGGATCTAATCCGAACCGCCTAAACTGTAAACTGTAAAACTCAAAGCTGTTGAGTGTTGAGACTTGTTGTGAGGAGTGGGGCTGTGAGTCTGTGATTGTAACTGTGAGTCTGTGACTGAGAGTCACTGTGAGTGTGAGACTGTGCCCTGTCCCTGTGTGAACTGTGAGGCTGTGGCCTGTGGGGACTGCAGCTGTGGGTTTCTTTTAAAACAAAAATTAATCTAAAAATGGATTGATAGAAGAGTCTCGACACCAAAATAGACTCTTAACTTCCAACTAAAATATTTATATAAATAATACCTCAAGATGCTCAAACTTGAAACTCTCTAAAAGCCCCAGCGGGCCCCAGAGTCCCAGACTCGGTGACAGGTAAATAGCACTTAGCCAGCTGATGTAAAAGTTGTCTAAAGGACTAAAAGTAAAATACAAAACAGAAAACTGAAGCCGCGTGAACGACTACGCTTACGCTGAATTTCACAGTATGGATCAGTGCGATACTATTCGGGCTTTACATTCTTATATCCTATGTCGTAGCAATACCCGAAGGCGACCTGCGTAGGTGGAATACAGTGCCGAAGGGCTTGTACGTGGAGAAGACAGAGGCAGCTAATATAGCCATTGGGTTGCACTTTCTTGGTGGTGCGATTATACTTGTACTGGGAGGAGTGCAGTTTATCTCGGGCATACGTGAACAGTACCCACTTGTGCATCGATGGACTGGCCGGGTATATATCACCGCATGTGTAGTAACAGCTATAGGCGGATTGGTTTTTATAGGTATCCGAGGCACAGTAGGGGGTGTGGTGATAGACATTGGCTTCAGCTTGTATGGGATCCTCATGTTTGTATGTGCATTACAAACGGTGCGATATGCCAGAGCAAGGCTACTAGTCACACACAGGGGGTGGCTATGCGACTATACAGCCTAGCGCTAGGCTCGTGGTTGTACCGTATAGTATATGGATTCTGGATGATACTTACTAACGGCTTTGGGCCGATGAATTCTGGGGGTTGTTCGACCATATTATGGCGTTCGCCTTCTACCTACCTAACCTGCTCATAGTAGAGATCATCATTCTACGGGAACACAAATACAGCACGAAACAAACAAAGACCTTGACCTCGGTCGGAGTAAAATTATCCACTGGTTTCCTTTTAATCGGGACATATTATTTTACGCGGTATATTTGGGGGCCTGTTATAATGAATCTTTTCTCATCAGGAGGTGAGAATGCGTATGTAGTGCATTTGCCACTTCACGCACAGACAGCTGAAGGGTGAAGCGCATAATCAGATCTCCAGTTACTGTAGCGTTACATGAATATGAGTGCGCAGAAGCAGTATAATGATTTTCTGGAGGGAATACTGGTAGTAGTTAAGGTTGTAAGGACATACGGCCAACTTCGGAATAGTAGGGGCGTTCATATAATGGTTCTGGTATATCAATTGTACCAGTTTGTGGGACCGAAAAGTGGGCAGCGATGTATTGATTTCACCCGACTATATTGGTGTTTCGAGAGGTGCGAGATGCACCCCCCGCTATATGGGTCCTGTCTCTCCGGTTGTGAAGTTAGGCATCGACTCCACACATAGCTACAGCATCAACATACGTTATACCTCATAATGCAGGGTCATGGGTCTGTGACTGGTTTAAACTGTCTGGTTGTCCTGAGCTAGAGTATGAACTACAAGCTCAATGGTAATATACAAATAGAGCACACTTTGCGACGACTTTTATCTGCACTCGAGGAAATGAATGCGTTTTATGAAACTGTTAATTGATGTCTTAATATGTAGTTAGTGGCCGCACGAGTTCTTTCTATACATTTTCTTGAAAGCACAGTAGCTTATATCGTAGGGTTGTACAAACAACTGATTGTACACAGCTATAGCAAGTCCAGCAAACGGTTTTGCGAATGCTGTGCATATGGTGTATATCAATTTGCATGAGATTATGTTTGTTGTCTTTCCTTGCACGCGTAGAGGTATTGAAATAATCCTGCACATGCGAGATTAAAGGATGGCAAAGGGCATCGCCAGAGATATGCTGAATCCAGAAGTATCGCGGCTCCAAGTACATTATCGATATCCACAGGCTCAAGTACGTAGGGGTTTTTCACTTGCTAAAGAATATAAAGAAATTGAGGTGACACCAAATCCCATGACCGTCAGATGCAAGTATGTAGTGGACCGTTCAGGAGCAGAACGCCAAATGTTTGCTTATATTCATTTATTTGGGGTACCATGTGCATCCGGATTCTCTGTGCTTGTGTATATACTATATACTAAAAAAACACACAGTAGTTACATATCCCAATGCAGGTACCATAGTGCATATGTGCTTTTCCTGTGCCAGTCCAGCAAAGTATTCTAAAGGACATAGCTGTGACTTGTTAGCATACCTCTGGCGGGACGTTAACAAGCCACGCTCATAGACTGCATGTCTTATCCAGCCCTTCCAGATAGAGTATATACCTGCAGAGAAGGCGTACTCTGGAATATATCTGTGGAGATCACGTCGTCTAGAACTTATCTGTGGAGAATACGTACTCTAAAATATATCTTTTCAGAATACGTACTCTAGAATATACCTGTTGATAATACGTACTCTAGGATATATCTTTTCAGAATACGAACACTTGAATACATCTGTGGAGAATGTGTACTCTATAATATATCTGTGGACAGCCAGACGGCCGCTCCACTACATCTGCAGGTGACGTTCATCGTCACGCAGGCACCTTCGCTTATCCATGGGGACTAATTTCCGTACTCCCGTAGGAGGTCTCTGAAGCCGACCAAGTCGCGTTAAATGTTATCGGAGGCGCTGGTAGGCAACCATCCACTAGCTCGTGAGCGAGCACCCGCAATCGGATGGGCGTATACTCCATCGACAGTTTTAAACGTACAACGTTTAATCAAACGGGGCGGTAAGTAGCCACTCAATAGTATCCATAGCCGACGAACCCTGCAGGTGACCTCAACTCTGCGCCTATATATCTGACTGAAGTTGCATATGACCGTCCACTGCTAAGGAGACTTCTCAGTTAGTGGGACCAGCCAGGCCATGGAGCAAGCACACACACACACTGTGTGTCCGGTCTGTGGCGATTCCGTAGATCATGCACTTGTGTGATTTGTTCTAAGTCATGTGATATCTACCCACCCCCCCCCACTTACACATACAGGTGGCTCAATCGATAAGCTAGTGGGTGATTTTCTCTATACGGAGCATGGATACTGTCGAGAGGCATATCATAGCAAACGCATGTGCTGTCCACTGCATCCGTATAGAACAGATTGAACGTTCGGGGGTGCAGCTGACCTGGGCTGTATAGACCTCGGCACACCACCTATAACGCACAAACACGCTGCGCCTGCAAGCGCTCATGTCACCACTCACGTGCTTCTCCGCGTCCCTTCCCACTCAACGTCTGCGTCCTCATGCACCACCACCCACACTCGACTCATCAACTTCAACTCATCATGCGCTCACTGTTGCGTGAGGATGTGGGCAGATTGATAGTTGCGGATGAAGCTATAGGTAGTTGGCTTACACCGGTTACGGGTTGGGTTGGGAGTCCTTCTTTTAAATAATATTCATACAAGGGCGTTGGTAGCTGCTTGTAGGTGAACGCGTTAGACAGGACACCCATTGCAGTCGACGTATCTCGGTGGCTCATGCATCTACGCGTGTTGGCAACTTTTCATGCCTGGACGTATACGGTAACACACCAGCGTGTACACTGAGGTCTTGACTTCAAAGCGTTGTAAATGGAGCTCTATGTATGATCGCATAGGTAACTATGTATGGTCGCATAGGTTACTATATATGGTCGCATAGGCTACTATATATGGTCGAATAGATTACTATACTTATGAAAACGCACGAATCTGCATCAAAAGAGTTTGAATGGAATCCATGTGCGTGTATCTATATATCACCACACCATCGTATGCGCACGAATCCGGACTCGTAGGCGTAGGCTGCCCAGGTACCCGACATGAAGGATGGACAGAATTGCACCTGTATGGAAATAAATGAAGTATCAGGGCAGTTAAATAGGAAATCCAATATAATATTTTGGTACAAAAATACTTGGAATATATGTGTGATCGTAAGAATAGTTGGGTACGATTTCCTTCCACACATTCGGATAGATTTGCACCTCTAGAAATAAAAAAGGACTTAGATATCCGAGTTATTGCACGAGATTGCCTTTAGCTTACTTATTTGTCACATTACCTTGGACCCAGAAAACGTGATTGTCTGGTATACAATATCACCAGTGCATAAAAAAATACTTGAATGCCAAAGAGTTCTGAAGATATTGGCATACATACATGATAATCACACTAGTATGCCTGCGACATCTTTCCAAAGTCCATATAAGAAGCATAATATCTGGAGCTATTCTCCACACCAACATGCTCTCACGATAATTGCAAGTGTGTGCAATATAGCCACTGGCGTTCATAAGTTTATATATGATACTTACATACTAATACCCCTGAGACATCTTTCCAAAGTCCATACAGGAAGCATACATGCCTGGAGATATTCACCACACCTACATGCACTCACGATACGTTCAAGTGTGTGTGATATAGTCACTGGCGTTCACACGTTTATATATGATACTTACATGCTAATACGCCTGAGACATCTTTCCAAAGTCCATACAGGAAGCATACATACCTTGTAATATTCACCACACCAACATGCACTCACGATACTTGCAAGTGTGTGTAATATAGCCACTGGCGTTTATACGTTTATACAGGATACTTACATGTGTGATCGAAACGCTTTTAGGCCCCAGAAACTCCTCAAGGCAATCAGGGATTGGCGCGGGATTGGCCTTTGTGGGCAACCCTCCCAGCTCAGAAATCTAGTGGTGAGCAAGACATTCGTATGACAATCAGTGGCGCACGAAACATTCGTACGACAATCAGTAGTGCACGAGACATTCGTAAGACAATCAGTGGTGCACGTGACATACGTACGACAATCAGTAGTGCACGAGACATACGTACGACAATCAGTAGTGCACGAGACATACGTACGACAATCAGTAGTGCACGAGACATTCGCACGACAATCCGTAGTGCAAGAGACATTCGTACGACAATCAGTAGTGCACGAGACATTCGTACGACAATCAGTAGCGCGCAAGTCACACATACGATAGACCGGTGCATCACGTGTACAAGCCCAATCTGTCCTCCTGTATAATTGTCTACTACTGGCGTGCACCCAGCCAAGCCAACATGCCATGTGCCTACCTGATCATTGATCATCCACACGTGGTGGTTTGGGTTTGCTGGCGCACTTGGTGCCTCCGTATCCGCCTCTGCCTCGGGTGTTTCGTCTGCGGCTTCTATGTCTGATGAGTGTATGGTGTGAAGGTTTTGAAACAAAATCGGGTCAGCATGGACATGTGTGGCGCTCTAAATTAGAGCCGAAAACACAGGATATCGATATTCAATATTAGAGCCAATATCACATCTATTTTGGACTTCCATTAAGATCAGCCACTATTCGATGGTTTCTTTTTCACAGGCCAATGTGTCCCATGCCAGATGATTTTCGTGATCAATATGACTACAGTGACTTCTACGGATAAGGAAACAGTATATAAACCGTCAGATCACTCGTCGACTCAGTGAGGATTGCAGCGGTCTTCCCGGATTTCGTCAGGCACAGATGATAAAACGTGGGGTATGCAGGTGTGCGTTGTTGTGCGATTTGGGGCGTGTACGTACTTATCTCGGACTGTAGATCTATACCTCATTGTCACGGAGCAATGCCATGTAAGATGTGATTGCGTTAACGCTTTCATACAAAGTACGTATGGTGGCAGGGGGCAGTAGTATAGGCAAGAGATACGACTACATAATATATCTGTATGTTCTCATTGACCACGCAAATACTATAGTATCAAATCACGCAGGCGTCATAAAGTTCAGATATTAACGTAGTGGCTGTGCACGGACAACTAATATCTGGGTGAACATGACTGAGATCTACATACAAGTATATGAAGTTGTATACAATATATATATATATAATATATAATATATATTATAAATATATATATTATAAATATACATTTATTAAATATATGTATATATATATATATATATATATATATACGCATATGATAAGGTGTATAGATACGTGTACGGTAAAGTGTGTATACGCATATGGTGAAGTATAGAAATACGCGCATATATGATGACTTGACATACCTGGTTCAGAGTCGCTTGCATCCGACGGTGGGTTCTTCGCCTGTTTTTTGTTCTTGCCCTTTATATTCGATTTTAAAGCCAATGCTCGTTCCTTCTTCAATGCCACAAGCGAGGGCAGTATTTTTGGAATCGGGTTCGGCTCCAAAACCGTCGCATGCAGCCAAACGTTGCGATCCTGTGCATGAGAAAGTTCGAATAGGCAGACCGAATATTCAAATTATAAATGGAATTGGCCCAATATATGTAGCTTAGAATAATTAAATTTGGATCGTGAAAAGAAATCACTAGGCGTGCTACATTGTTCGAGGGTCTGATTGTACCAGGTGTTGATATACACACACACGCACACACACACGTGTGTTTGTTGGAAGAAATGTCAACCAGCGTATATTCGTGCCTCTTTATAAACCACATACGTATCTCCAAGTCCACCAGGGCTCGCGTGATTGTGTAGCCGTGTTTCCGGACTAGCGAGCGCCATATACGAGAAAACAACCCAATATACACATTCGATATGTATACACGAGTTAATTCAGACACCCACACAAACGTGTCTGGCTTTCTGAAAGGGACTATAGCCTCGGGTAATAGTGTGACTATGTGTACATACATGCAAGTCTGTACATGACTCTTCCTACGCAATGTGTCGCATTTCTTCGTTTGGTTCAGACATACATCACCCATAGAAAAGGGACATGGCCATCAAAGACAAGACAAAGCATCGCCACATCGTGGAGAAGCAATACAGCAGCCTTGGGACATGGGACTCTATTCGGAGCTAGCTGTGTGTATACGTACAATATATGCAAACAATATATACATGAAAAATATGCACACAATATATACATATAATATATATCTACAATATATACATAAAAAATATACATACAATATATACCTGCAATATATAAACGCACGACCAACCGCATAGAAACACCCCATGACGCTCCCCGTACGCACCTTGACACCCTTTTTCTTATAGATCAGTCCTATGTTACTCACAGACAAGGCTCCGTCATCGAAGGCAGTCGCCATCGCATTGAGGGGTAGTGAGTAGCTCATGGCCATGGGCATGACTCCCGGTCTTATCTTCTGTACCCAGTTTGGTTTCAGCTTATGCTCTACCACCCCATGCTCTCTAGTATGTGTACAAAGGCAAGGGGACGTGTGTACATATAGATGTGTACGTACCTCTCTATTTTATGTACACGTGCTCTCTAGTATGTATACAAAGGTAAGGGGACGTGTATACATATAGATGTGTATGTACAATCCATCATAAGTACAAATGCACGGGTACATACATACATACAGATGAGTCTGTATCTTGCAATATATGTGCCAATGGGTTGACACATAAATACATATAGACGTATATGTATCTCATACGCCAACGCAGCCGTACGGCTTCATCCAGAGTCGGCTGTGAATTGCATTGAACGGCAGGCGAGTCGCTCACAACCGTAGCTGCAACTCCCAGCCCTAATGTCTTTGGGGTTTTTAGGGTTTTGTGTACAGCACTAATGTCTGCACACAGCATAGCACAAACCCAATCTGTGGTGCCGTAACATGTGCTACTACAGCGCGTATACAAGTCTAAGCATATGCATGTATATATAAGCACGGCAGCTCGAGTGGGAATCAAGACTCTCGTCTCCTGTATATATACATGCTGATTTGTCTAAAATAACGAATGATATCCGAAGAAAGCACTACAGAGCTACATTGTATTATAAAAGCATATAATCAAATCATACACGTATATACAATGGACTATATAGACAGCCCAATCACACACAGAGATTGGTCCACACCACATGGAGGTTAGCATCTAAGGCTAGACGATCCCCTGCACACAGAGATAGATCTACTACACATGGAGGTTAGCGTCTAAGGCTAGACGATCCCTTGCGCACATAGATTGATCCACAACACATGGAGGTTAGCGACTTAGGCTAGACGATCCCATGCGCACATACCGCACACTCCCATAAGACGTGGCGACGTAGAACGACCCCAAACTGTGCGGCCATAGCACTACGGAGGCGTATTCTGTGTAAAACAAAAAGTGGGAGAGCACTTCAGCACATGAGCACACGTGGTAGTAGGCGTAGTGTGAGTGCGAGTTAATGGATAGATGCATATGCTGTGTGGGTGGGAGAACACTTAAGCCCATGAGCACACGTGGTAGTAGGCGTAGTGTGAGTGTGAGTGAATGAATAGATGCATATGCTGTGTGGTACACGTGGTAGTAGGCGTAGTGAGTGTGAGTGAATGGATAGATGCATATGCTGTGTGAGCAGCTGATGAGCAACGACTATCAGACCACATTGTCGTACAATTGCTCATGCTTTGTGGGTTAAGTTACTTTAAGAGTACGCTATAGGAAGAGGAAGGGAGTGCTCATATACCTACCAGTATACTCTGTTATGATGAGGATGAGAGTGCTCATATACATACCAGTATACACGGTGGGCCAATGAGAACACTTCTGGGACAGTACATGTCAAATCCAATCGACGCATTTACGAATCGTAACACGCACGCACGTTTGAATATACTCTCTTCTGTATGGGGTATATACACGAGAAGCCTCTATAAATTCACACACCTACATCCACATACCGAAACGTGCGCGAATACACGTAAGTACACGAGTACGCTGTACAATCTGCTGCTGAGCAGACAAATGGCGGTATCGGGAATGGCTCGCACACGCACATGTTCAGTCACTGATGTTGATTCAACCACCCCGTGAACAGACTGTACGCATATACGTATACGTACACGCCCACAGAATACATTTGTACGTATGAAACTGTACGTATACACGTATACATACACGCCCACAGATTATGTCTGTACGGATGAGACTGTAAGTATATACGTATACGTACACGCCAACGGTTTATATCGCGGCATTCAGTCTTAAACGCGCACTACGAGGTGTGCATAAAAACGTACCATTACGTATATTCAAGCCGGTGGGCATTCCTGCTGAACAGACAGGTAGCAGTGTCACGTGTCATCTGTCACTCTCCAGTAACAGAGACAGCTATAACTCCCCTCTGCCCCCAAGAACACGTGTGTATGCACCAGTATATTAACGGACAGCCAGTCTATACACACACCACAGCGTGTGTACATACACACAAACAAACACAACGGTATACATACTCACTCTAGTGAACATACAACACGAACAAGCAACGGAATATGCACTCACCCTAAGTACAAACACACAAACAAACAACGGAATATGTACTGACCCTAAGTAAATATACAAACAAACAACGGAATATGTACTCACCGTAAGAGTTTCTGCTGAGTAAACAGGTAGCTGCATCCCGGGTGTCCCATATGTGCCACTCTCCAGTGATGGCGCTAGTCATAACCACGTTCTGCTCAAAGTGGGGGTGCCAGCACACTTGGTTAACCGCACGCTTCTCGGCCATAAAGTGTTGACTGTGGGGGATATGGAGGGTCTTTTGTGGTGGCACTAGAGCCTCGTCTGTAGAGGAATAAAGTATTTGCGATTAGATACACACACACACACACACACACACACACACACACACATATATATATATAATATATATATATAGTACATATATACGTACTAAGCACATACCTTTCAGAAAGTGGGATAGGTCGTACACAATCACCATGCCGTCGAGAGTACCTATAGCTATCTTGTGGGAGATGCCCCAGTCAATGGCAGTGCACTGGGAGTGGCTGCTGGGTTTGGACAGCAATGCCACAGGATCCAGGTGTACTATGCCTGTGTCTCTGTCTGTATGTGAATGAATAAGTGTACATGTGCATGAGAGGAACGCATCCCAATATATGTGGGCTGATGATAAGGAGAAAAAACCGTCTCCGTCCGTATGTTCATACGTTTATGTGTGCATGGAGATATATGCACATGTATTGGAAAAGGTATAGGAATATGCATGGAATATGTATAGGAATATGTGGGTATGAGTGAATGAATTTACGTTTATGATCATACAAAAACGAATGTGCAATGGTTTGTATGTATCTTATACCCCAGCTAAATGTGGAAGTGGCTGCTAGTCGTGGACCGCACTACTATCAGATCCAAGAGTACTATGTCTGTGTCCATCTCTGTGTTATGTCTGTATGCATGCACACAGACAGAAACATATATATATATATATATATATATATATAACCGAGTTCGCCAACGAATATATATTTGTATGTTTATATCGAGAGCCGCAGTCAAGCAATATGTAATTTGAATGACTGTTAAGATTGAAAAGCGCTACCGCAAGGGTTGTGTGTACTATATTCGTGACATTTCGTGCACACGAACTGGATATTTCGAGCCCAAATATAGACAGGAATCCCAAAACCATGCACCATCTTACAGCTACCTGAACTATTCTCGCTCTGCTTGCGTACATCTGCCACATTGGGCACAGCTTACAATCTTACCACTCCTTCACATCACATCTAAAACCACTCGAACCCGAAACGTTAAAACTAACAACCCTAAACCCTACAACCCTGAATCAGCTCACAGCCTACCTGAACGATCCTCGCTCTGCTTCCGCACATCTGCCACATTGGGCACAGCGTATAACCGCACCATCCCCTCATGATCCGTTACAGCTAGCACTCCCAACCGGCTCAATCCCCTTCTCTCCGTATCTGCACCCTTTCTCTCGGCGTTGCTATGGGAACCGATACCATTCGTGCTCGTACTCGCCCCGTTGATGGTCGCGTTTATGCCGGCTGTACTCTGTTCGTTGGCGGTATCCAGGCCATGCGTCGTTTGTGCCGGGCTATTTTTAGATGACTCCGTGCTGTTTTTAAAACGAGCGGGTTCTTGCCTGGCGTGGCATGGGGCCCACGTGAGCATCTTTATAGCGGCAGTCTGTTTGAGCGCAACTACCATAGCCAACCGTGGCAAAATGTATGTCTTGGCCTGCGATAGAAAATAAAGCCATACAGGCACGGATGAGAGAGCAGAGTAGTATAATAGGTGATAGAGGACCAATGCCATATATGTATGGATATGGCCCAACACGTGATCGAGGAATAATGTCATATATGAATGGATGAAGGATCCGAGCAGTACAAAAGTAGGTAGTGCGCTGGTTCGAATACGCCCTTCTATTAATAGATAGCATATGACCCTTCTATTAATAGATATAGCATATGACCCGTCTATTAATAGAAAGCGTACGACCCTTCTATTAATAGATAGCATATGACCCTTCTATCAATAGAAAGCATATGAAGTTCTACCGATAGGTACCAAGCGTGTGACTTTTGGGCCAGTCGAGGTGTCGAGGGCAACTACTGCGGCCAACCACTACAGGCTCTCCGTTTCGTTCAAGTGTTGCGATGGCTAGCCGAGGCGTGTTGAGTGGTAACATGCGTTGGGTATGACGAGAGGAGTGTGTGTGCTAAACCACCTGTGGCACTTTACTATAAATGATGCCTTGCTCTTATGAGAGAATCCGGGTTCGGGTTAGCGACCACCATGCCCATAAAAGAAGAAACGATACGTGTGTATTTAAACCCCCAAACCCTAAAAACCCAGTAGAGTATGTACAAGGTTATCGAGGAATGCAATATTAACAACAAGTAGAAATTTGTGTGGCAACCCGGATAAGGATATGATTCTATGGGTGGCACTGATATTTTTTGGAACTGTTATTTTAGAGCTATTATTTTTGGAACTGTTATTTTTGGAGTTGATATTTTTGGAACTGTTATTTTTGGAACTGTTATTTATTGAACAGCCGGGTACTTGATAGCCACTGGACCAACCAATTAGTGGTGGAGTATACGTATGGAGTGGACACACCATAATCATTCATACACACACATTCACAAACAAATAGTCGACAATAGCACATACGTTCATATCGCTGGTATGGTTCTCCAGCATACCACAGTCCCATATCTGCAGCGTCGCCACCCTCCCCACACCCCCAGTGGTAGTCACATAGTCATCGCGCACACTCAGCGCCAGATACTGCCTCTCTATGCCTTTCTTACGGTTTATATTAGGGGCCCAGGCCAAAGCACACACACCCGATGGGAAGTACATGCAGTAGTCAGTTTGCGGCGGGGGAGGGGAGAACATCAGCACGCTCTTCTTGAGGTTCTTGAGGTACTGTGGGTCGGACAGGAAGTCGAAAGGCAAAGATGGTATGAATCAGGGTTTATATATATATATATGTATATACACACACACACGCACAGACAGACACAGACACAAACACACTCACACACACACACACACAATATACAGCTCCATATCTAACCTCAATCAAAACTTCTCTCCTGTGAACGACAGGGCTAAGGTCTACACCGACGCCTTCAGTAGGGTACAGCCGCACCGTGTGCGTGGTCTCCTCATGAATCTCTTGAGGATTGACATTCTTAGGCATGTATACGGCGTTGCTGTGGTAATGTTTCCTGCGAGAAGAACGCATCAATTACAAAGGAAAGTTGATACATAGTAAGTCCAAATGTGGATATGAATCTTGAAAAACGTATACGCACACACATGCAGACACACAAACACACACACATCCTTACACACATTCATACACAGCCGAGTGCACGTACTTGAGCTTATCTTTGTGGTATGATTTGACTATTTTGAGCACCAACACCGTGTCTTTCGGATACGAATGCCCCAGATACGACGCTACACGCTTTGTGCCGTTCGCTGTGATCAGCCGTGTGCGTTGAGTGGTAGGCAGGAACTGCTGGAACCGGGTGTGGCCACCAGTATCCCATCGCCAGTCTACATCTAGCGGATCCTATATATGGAAAGTCAGAGTTCTATTTTTAGAATGTCCATCTGTTGTCGCGATCGAGGCGAATGCAAGGACGTCTCCGCCTGCTTGCCGCCCGAGGCGATTTTCTATTAAGTTATTTCGTTTGAAAGTACCTTCTGATGATCAGAGAATTGGGTCCTGCTTGGAAAGGACGTGCTACCCACCTGTTCTCTGTTCAAAAATGCTGCACCATATACAGGTTAATTTATGTCAAAAAAAGTATCTATCTATACACACACACACACACATATATATATATATATATGTATACATACATATATATATATATACATATACCTATTTAAATAGCTGCATATACCCAAGATACATACAACGTAGATTGCTATATATGTTTGTGTAAACGTATACGAATACCTACCTGTCTATATAGCTGTATCTTATCAAGATTACTCAATTTGTTGCCCGGTGGAGCGTATCGAACTCTGGCCGCAGTTGTTGGAGCACCCGCTAATCTGTGATGCAGCTGTGGCTGCTCTTTCATATCTCGCATAGCGAAGCCGAACCGTCTGAGCAATATATAGGGCATTAGCAGTTATACATTGTGTTTTACTACCAGAAAGGGATCGAAGGGACCACAGATAGGTCAGTTAGGTCAGATAAGTACGCGTAGCATGCTTAAAGTCGTATATGATGTGCTCTCTGATGTAATGTGCACCATAAGAGGTGCCTGAGGGGTTTCGACGTGTCTATTCATTGTTACATATATCGATAGACACCTGAAATAGCCGTGTTCTTAGTATCGCTGCGTGAAGACGTGTTGTCTAGGCTGCACTACAGGGTTTAGACACACGCGGGATACTATATATTGGGTGGTTGATAGAAGGTCTCTTCGCTGGGCGCTTGCTCTTCATGTCAGAGCTCTCCTCACCAACATATATATAAATGTGAATATTATAAATAAATAAATAAATAAATATATATATATATATACATATATATACTGTAATATATATATATATATGTACACACACACATACAAACACAAACATGCATATATATATATAAATATACATACATACTCGCATACATACATACACACATACATACATACACACAAACACAATATATATAATATACGTACACACAACATATATATATATATATATACATATACGTACATACATAGACACACGCACACGCACACACACACACACTCATATATATATATATATATATATATTTATAAATCTATAGGTAAATATAGAATTGTAATAAAACATTGATACGTATACGAATATATATAATACAATATATATATATATATATATATAATACAATAT